ATAAGCTATGGCAGCTCCAACTCAGCTCGGCAAAGGAGAGGAGAAAAGCAGCTAACGAGTTCAGTAACGAGAGACAAAAGTTTACGTTATTCTACGACGGTCGTGACTGAAGGAAATATGAATGGATGATAGTATTCGAGCGATAATATGTTTACGATAGTAATCTAACCAACATTTTAAAAAAAGTACTTTTTGGTCTTTTATCTCTTGTTATCTTTATGAAACAAAAATTTTAGTTGTGTCGAGTCACATCAATGAACCTATAATTGAGATAAACTTAATTCTCGAGGGTCGAATAATTTCTACCTAGGTTTCATATTCGACCAAATTTTGTGTCTAAACGACTTTAATGAAACGAGTGTAACGTCTTGGTTGGCATAGAACAGTCAACGGTCCACGATCGGTTCCAAACCAACCAAACTCATAAATACCCACAACTTCTACATCTAACTGTCACCATTCAATTCAAACTCGATCTTCTTTTACTTTCAATTCAATTTCTTTTCCAATAATGAGTATAGCCATCATATTATTTGGTTGATGACGTGTACCAAATTTCAATGGAGTTGGTAGAAGTTGATACGCTAAAATGCATCTTCCGAGGTGAATATAGTAAATATTTATGGTAACTTTAATTTGAAGTAGGGTGGTTGTATACTTTTTACTTCATATGATATAGCTACAAATTTGTACTAAAACGAGTAATAACTTAATGACGTGTTTATGTTTTGTTTAGTATATGTGAAATCCTATATCGGTTTGAGAAGGGAATGAGACGTTTCTTATAAAAGTGTTAAAACTTATTTCTAATAGACGTATTTTAAAATCGTAAGGCTTATGACGATACCTAATTGGCTAAAACGGACAATATTTACTAGCGGTGAAGGCAAGTATCTCCGTCAGTCTCATGGTTTTAAAACGCGTCGGCTATTCGTTTTTTTCTCTAATTTATGTGAGATCTCACAATCCACTCCTCTTGAGGGCCAGTGTCCCCGTTGGCATATTGCTCGATATTTGGCTCTGATACCATTTGTAACAGCTCAAGCTATTCACTAGTAGATATTGTCCGCTTTGGTTTGTTACGTATCACTGTCAGCCTCACAGTTTTGAAACATGTATTCTAGGGAGAGCTTTCCACACCCCTATAAGAAATGTTTCGTTTTTCTCTTCAACTGATGCGGGATTTCACATGCTGTTACAGATGATATCAAAGCCAGATACTGGAGGGTGTGCCTTATTTTTAGTTGTGATTTTTTGGTAATGGAATTCAACAAAAGGATATCTTAAAAGATATCTCAAACGGTGTTTGTGATGTTCACATGTGACAATTTGGTTAAAGAAAAAGGAATTCAGATTTATGCACATGGAATGTGGGGCTTGAATGGGAAAGACTTCTCAATTTATTTATTTATTTTTTTTCTTTTTCGAAAACATTTTAATTATTCAAAAATAAATTCATTTTAAATAAAGTTAGGTGGCCATTTCCAAGAAATTTAATGAAGTATTTTTTTTTCTTTTCTTTTCTTTTCTCAAATAATTGTCTCGAAAAAACTCGATTAATTTAGCGCTCGGTTGAATTTAAACAAATGAAAATTTTTATGTATTGGGTTGGTCCTATAAACTATAATTATATTCGTATATTTATTTTATTTCATAATTATATTTTTAATAATTAATTATTCAACCGCTTTTTAAAAATAAAATTTAATTATTTTAAAAGTAATTTTTAAAAATATTATTAAAATTGTGTATTATATTTTAATTAATAAATAACCATGACAATCACACTTCTATTTCTCCTTCTTAATCTTATTTAAAAATAAATAAATTACAAAGTAATATTATATTTTTATTAAAAATAAAAATTTAAATAAATGAGGTAAACTAATCAAATTAAAAAAATTTAGGGTGGGGTTGGATACATTATTGGTCAAGAATTATTAATATTAAAAATATTTATAGCTCGAACCGTTAGATTGAGTCTAAAAAATGTGGTATAAAAAATGTGGTAATCTGATTATGTATTTATGGTTTGACAGTTGATGTGTAAAAATAATAAAGTGTAAATAATATTATTTCCAACCATTTATCATGAAAAAAGTATATTTAATTCATTTTTATGATAAATTTACATAAATAATGTTTTTTTGTTGTTGTTTTTTTTTTAATGAGGGGTAGTTGGGAATTTTTAAAGTAGAGAAATTTAAAGGCGTAAAATGTATATATTTATTTTGACTAAAAAATAAATAAAATAAAAAAAGAAATAAACTTGATGCTAATGAAGATGGGCAGACGGTGGCATGCCCAACTACCTTGGGAGCAGGTATTGACTATTGTGTAGGGATGATGCCCCAAATACGAAGGGTTGGGTCCCTCTTTTAGGGCGTGTTGGTGTTGGAGGCTACACACATGCATACCTGAGTCGTAATTAACATTTTAATAGGCTGAAAACTTTGTTAAAGGCTTGCCTACTAGACCTACTCGTGTCGAACGTTGCACTGTGCGCTTGTGCTCTGTCTAGTCTTCTATGGCATGCAGCATGCCCACGACGTATAATCGCACTCTTGTGGCTGTGAGATAGCGTTTGTGTGACACTTTTCTAACTTGACGAACAAGTTAGCTGTATGAAAATCGTAAGCTGCATACAATTTGGACGTATGATTGAGCCTTGGTCACGTTTGAGAGATTGTTTTAGAAAACTGAGCGAGAAAATGTGTTGAAAACAATCTGCAAGAAGAAAGTAACAACCACAGTGTTGGATGAACACAACCCTCGACAATGGTATGATATTGTTCACTTTGAGCATAAGCTCTCGTGACTATGCTTTGGGCTTCCCCAAAAGGCCTCATACTATTGTGGAGGGTCGTGTTCATCTAAAATGGTATCAGAGTCATGTCCTAAACTTAATCATGTCAATAGAATCCTCAAATGTCGAACAAATGACTCCAAAAGAAAAAGAAGTCGAGGCTCCTCGAATGCATAGTAAAATATGACTAATACTCCAAAAGAAAAGGAGTCGAGCCTCGATTAAGGAGGTGTTGGATGAAAGTTCCACATCAGCTGATTTAGAGAATGATCATGAGTTTATAGTAATCGAATACTATCTTCATTGGAATGAGACTTTTTGGGGAAGCCCGAAGCAAAGCAGCTTAGATTCAAAGTGACTATATCATACCATTGTGGAGGGTCGTGTTCTATGATTTTAAACCCACGATCATTCCCTAAATTAGCCAATGTGGGACTTTCATCCAACACACAACTTTGATAGCATCTAACCCGTATAGAAATAATTGACGATTAGTCATATCCCTTATAATATATTTTGAGACATTTTAGCTATGACGGGTGTAGACATGATTTTAGTGAACGGTCTTGCACCTCCTACTACATGATAGGAATAGTAAAGACATGACTATACATGAAAGCAAGTAAAAGGGGTTTGGAACGGACATGCAGCAATAAACAACACGTTTTGGACAAGCATGACCAAGATATGCACGACCACATGCAACACGGGTTAAACAAGTATGGTCGTGACACCATGCACTTATCGGTTATCTTGACAACCAATTCAGCACACGTCTTTCGGTACAATCTTTCGAGGGAACCGAGGGAGCTTTATCTGCATAAATTTATTTTTGAATTATTTTATTGTAATTTGAATAAAAATAATTAAAAAGAATATAATTATAAAGGCTCAAGATTAAATTCAAGCTTCTAGAAAGGTAAGAGAATTTTCCTTAATTAGCTCAATGTATCCCTTATAAAATTTCTTCAATCAAATTGTTTAATGGTTGCCAGTGAAGCAAGAACTGGACATGTATTAATTAAACTATGTCTCAATATTTATAAATCAATATTATTTATGAAAATGGACGTGACTAAGCTACGGCTGTCGAATGAAAGTGATAGAAGATAATGTGGTCAGCTTTTGGGAATTTTTGGAAAATTAAGGGCTGTTTTTATAAATTAATAAAAATATTTATAAATTTTCTAAACTTTTAATAATATCATTAAACTTAAAAAATAATAAAAACAGCACACTTTTAACTTTTAAAGGGTTTAAAAAATACTTTTTAAGATTTTAAGATTTTAATTAATATTCTTAAACGTCATTTATAAATAAAATTTTATCTAGTGAGCGGGTGGAGATTTGAGTGGGGTCGAGAACGAAGAATATAATTACTGTCTTAAACTTCGTTTATGTGATGTTCCACATTGGTTGGGGAGGAGAACAAAACACCATTTATAAGGGTGTGGAAACTTTCTCCTAGCGGAAGCGTTTTAAAGCCTTGAGGGGAGATGCGAAAGGGAAAGCCTAAAGATGACGATATTCAGGTAAGTCCAAAAAGGACAATATCTGCTAACGATGGACCTAGGTCGTTACAGTTTAATTAAAGAAAAAATATTTTTCCACTCTCTCGATCTTGGTTTAAACGGACATTAAATAAATATCTATAATGACCATGTTTTTTTTTTTTTTTTTTGTTTGTTGAAGTAATTTTGATAGAACTTTCATTAAATATTTGTCCCCCTGAAATTTATACTTTGGTGTGGCCCACGTTTGCAGCTGGAGCTCACAGTCTGGTTCCAAATATGCGACAATCGATCCACGTCAGCAGCATGGACGCCATGGTGACGGGGTTCATCAACCACTGGTGCCACGTGGAGGAGTGAGGCTTGGAGGCCAGCGTGGCAAATCCTAGCTGTAGATGGTAGATGGATACGGGATTTGTGAGATGAGTCAGATGGAGAACGTCAGCAAAAGGGCTTATAAAAGGGAGTCCAAAAGCCTAATATTATGGGCTCACAATTGGGCCGATCAAGCAAAGCCCAGCCCAGCTCCAGCAGCCGAAGCAGAGGTTTTGGCGGGAAACCAAAAATCACTCAACGGAGAGTACAAATGAAGGCCGGTTCTTTACTCATCCGTCTCCGATGAAAGTCCGATGTTGATTATTGATAGCAAGTTTCAAGAGCTTCACTTCTGGTAAATCATCACAATGCCTCCAAGGAAGAAGTCTAATTCTTCTTCCAAGAAGCCCAATTCAAATCAGCAATCAGAGCCTTCCAAGTTTGGAATTCAACACTTCTTCGACCGCCACTCTCAAAATGCTGCGCATTCTCAGAAGCTCACTCCACGAACTTCCGATTCGAAAACTGATGTTTCTGACTCTCTGGATCGTGGAGATGATCCGAATATGGGACGGTTAGATTATAAGGACGCGGCTGCGGCGGCGATGGTGACGACGACTGCTCAAAAGTCAGAGTTGCGGGTGCTTCCTGTGAGTGATGCGGTTTTAGCTTCTGAAAACCCTAAAGTACCGCAGGGAAATGATGCTTGCTCTTCGTCTCTGGATACGACGCCTGAGATTTTGATTGCTGCTGGTGGAAATGCTGGCCATGACCTTTCTAACGAGCTGTCTCCACAATTTTCCAAGTCCGCGTCTTTGAAGCGCTGCAAGTTCTCTCCCGGGATGGTAACTTTAGGCCTTTTTTTTTTCTCTTGCTCTTTGTTTTTTTTGTTGTAGATTGCTTGTTCGTTGTAAATGCATTGGCCACATTGATGAATTTTTACTTATTGAAGTAAAAAATGGTGAATAGCTGATTAAGCAAAGTCAGGATGAGGGGACTACAAATGATGAGATCACATGGAAGATATCTCCAGTAAACGAAAGGCTTCAGGCTGTTTCAAAGCAATTGCCGGAAACTATAAGAGTTTTGGCGAACTCCTCAAGGCTCAACTCTTTGAGAATTCGACAGTGTTCACAAAACAAGGTATTAAATGTTGAGTTTAATTTGGTTCTCTTGACTCTTGGGTTCTCTAACAATGATCTTTATAGACTTCCTCTGTGGAGCTTGGGAATTTTGAGCAGTTGAGTTCACTAAACCCGAAACCTTCTGAAAGATCAGTGGCTTCGTTACATAAGACTGGATTGAAAAGGTTACGTTCTAAACATGATACGGAACCTAATGGAGTTGCGATTGATAGTTTGAGTGGCTCTAGAGTAGCTAACAGTCAGAGTCCATTCCGGACGCCCCCATCTTTGTCATACTGCGATAAGGTAATAACTTCTTCATAGACTGTATTTCCTGTTTCTGATAGGTTCTAACTTGTCTGTATTCTTTTCCCTTTAAAATTTAAAATCTACACGCTGGTCTACCGGTTGGACTATATAAATTCATATGCTTTATGCCTTGGTTGATCCGTAGACTGCCAATGATGTTGTTGAACGTACTGAATCACCCGATCACCCTATTTTAAGGCCACACAAAAAGGTATTACAATATTATACTATTTGTTGGTCTTTCTGATTTTACTTCGTTTTGTTTTGTCCAAATTTCAGTCAGCTTCCCAACCTGGTTGGCGGGTCTTCTCATTTCTTGGACCAGTTATACTTGTTGTCGAACACGTTTATTTTCATATTTACTTTCTACAACTTGTCAACATTTGATGCCTTCTTGCTTCTTTGTTTTTGCAGGCATTACTTGAGCTTTTAGATCAAGTAGAAGATGTCATTGCTGTTGATACTGTGGCTTCTTCCATTGATTTGGAGGAGGATTCATCTGAATTACAAGGTAGAAATGGTATCACATTGACACCTGGAGTTGATTCAGCTGCAGCGGAAGTCCTTCAAAAGATTCCAGACACTGTAATGAAGGCATCCCCTTGTGATTTTCTTGTCTTGGAGGTATATTTTACTCTCTCAAACAGGGTTCATTTCTAGGATTGCTCCTCATTTAGTTGCTTTTGATGATTTATATAATACATTGTTGCTATCTGTGCCAAAGGTAACAGAGAAATGTGAGCTGGCTGATACATCTGAAGTTAAACGCTCGTATAAGGTTTCTTGTAAGCTTATTCACTGATTTTGTACATTTCCTCACAATACCAAGTAAATTAATAAAGGTGAGCAATGAATTTTCAGGTTCTTCGCTTGCTAAATGAGCAAAGTGGAGAAGAGCGGGCCGTATATCTTTGGGATGACTGGTAAATACATAAATTAAGCTCTTTCACATCACTCTATATCAAAGTCAAAAATTGACTTGAAACCCGAAAGAAAAAGTCAAAAGACAGAAAGAGTATATTTGCTGTTTCTTGATAAATATTCTACTTTTCTTGCTGCAGCCTTCTTAAATTCCTAAATCGTTATAAGATTGTATCACATCACAGTATATCATTGATGTAAATCTTGTTGTGTTCCTTCATTTGTATTTCACTCTAGCATGACCTGCCGAAGAATTTAGACTATTACTTGTTACCTTCATGAGATATGGTATCTTGATTTTGAGTTCAAACTCTACGTCCCAGCAAATTACTAGTGGACCTAAGACAAATGCTTGAAGCTTCGTTATTGTTTTGTTTTTTATTTGATGAATTTTGTCTAAAATTGTTATAGTTTTAGAATTATACTCTTTAATCTCTTCAACCACCATGGGTTGTCCTAATGGAAGTGTGTTCAAGTTAGTCCTAACACTCACAGATATGAAAACAAATGAAAACTAAAATTTTAAAAGAATCTGTAATCTTTTTCATGAAGCCTTTCAATGCTGAAGGTGAATTTGTTTATTAGTTACCTACAGTTTCTTCTTTGAACTTTCCTTTCCATTTCTTCATCAGGTTTGACAGTATTATTGCACCTGGAGATACTGTGAATGTTATTGGTGAATTTGATGACCAAGGAAGATGTCATGTTGACCACGACAAAAATTTTGTTATTCTACACCCCGATGTACTTGTCTCTGGAACTCGGGTAATACGATTACTTTGCTAAGTACTTGGCACCTCACCCTGCCTCTTTGGTTGTGGTGCCTTTGTGAGCTATTGAATCGAAGTTATCATTTGATAGTCATCAATCAATTCTTATAATCACCAATCACAAATGATTTCTAGGTTGCTGGTCATCTGACCTGTCCAAGGAGGAGTGTTCTTGATGAGAGGCTTAGAAGTAACGAACAGTCTATTTCAGCATTAATTGGTACTTTGCTGCACCAGGTTTTTCAGGTTTATAGCTCTATCCTGACCTTTTAATATGATTAGAAGCATAGATACAAAGTTAGTACACTTAAATCTCAACATTTGTTATTTACCTGTATGCGTTTATGGTGTCTTTTTAATACTTTTTGACGCTCAAGCTTTTAGCATTTATCAATCTATCACATTTGTGTTCATTTTGCTTTGAAGGCTGGTCTTGTAGAAGAAACACCAACTGTTGCCTTCTTGGAAGAGGTTTCGAGAATAGTGCTTCAGAAAAGTATGGAAAGTGTATATGCATGCGGAGGTAAACGTTTTTGAATTTGTACTCGTTGTGCAACGGATCACTTTTCATATCTTTTAAGAGGGGTGCGGAAATTGCTGTTATGGGCACTTCTTCTCCATGTATACGTATCTTCTTCCATCCAATGCAAATGAATCTAGTTTACTTAATTTGTTCAGTTTTTTTTTTTTTTTTCAGTTTTAGTTGAAATACTACATCCCCAGTAAATGACTCGTTAATCTGTATGTCAAGACACTGCTTAGAACTTATAAGGCCAGAGCCTCTAGGCCCTTCCGTTAACTTCGGGAGACTGTTTGGAAACAATCCTGCCTTGATCTTGTTGGATACTTTTAATCTTGCTTCTGCCAACTGTAGGATAAAAAAATGTGCATTATCGAATTCTTTCCATTAGTTTAAGTGCCATCACATTTTTCAATGTATACATTTGTTAAATGTAGTGCGATTAGTATTTTATTGATGAGTCGCAAACAATCATTTGTTGCTTGAATGATTCATTTACTTGCACTACCTTGGGTGCAGCAAATGAAAAGGATATAGGCAGAACCATGAATGAAGCAGTTCCAAAAATTTTGCATTGGATCACCCTGTTCAAATGCCCAATGGTGAGAAATGTCTAGACATCGTTATGATGAAGCAAATCTGAATTCTTTTATTTGTTGTAAGTAATTGCAATTGTTGGCAACAGGGTTCTAAAGCACCTACTATTGAGTTTAGATCTGATGATGGTCCCAGGAAAGTTAGTATATCAGAGGTAGGTTTTGTGGATGCTCTTTTTAACATTACTGATTTTTTTGTAACATGATGCACCTAACTGGAATGAAGTGCTTGTTAAAGTACAAGTCTGTATGAATCTATATTCTTATGGAAACTTCCATTTTTAGGTAATTGATATTGAGGAGATGGCATGGGCTCCAAAATATGGTTTGAAGGGAATGATTGATGCTTCTGTCAGGGTAAAAGTACTATCAAATTATAATACATGTGTTGAGAACGTCGTGCCTTTAGAGTTTAAAACTGGAAAGGTGCCAGCTGGCCAGGCAAGTATGTGGTTCCTTTAGCTCACATTTATGCAGGGTTCCCTGTAGGATTGGGCTTTTTGTGTTTTCTTGTAGATCGATCATGTTTTTATAGTAATTAGTATAACATGATAATCCTGATCTGTTCTGCAGTCCTCCATGGAACATTGTGCCCAAGTGATCTTATACACACTACTTATGTCCGAGAGGTATGTACATCTTACTCATTTTATTTTTAAATATTTTTTTAAGACCGTCCTACAGATGATATTTGATTTACCTTCTCTTTCTTGGGTTGTTGTATGTTATCATTATTGTATTTGTGAATGGTTGGATGTATTCTGTTATTTGCCCTGTATGTATGTTAGGTATCAAAAACATGTTGGTTATGGTCTCCTTTACTATCTCCAGTCGGATCAGACACAGGTAAAAATTAGATTCATATGTAAGTTTATTCTTCCATGTGCTGGAAGGATGTTTAAATTATATAAATCTCATGAAGGGTATCCGGGTTCAAAGATCTGACTTGGTGGGGCTAATCATGCGTCGCAATGAGCTTGCAAATAACATCCTCAAGGCATCAACTGCACAATTACTCCCCCCTATGTTACAGGTATGGTCCTTCCTAAACATGGTTTTGCGGATCTCTATTTAATCATTGAACCTACTATTTTTTGATACAGATTCCAAATGTGTGTAAAGGGTGCCGCCATCTTGATGTTTGTACCATTTATCATAAGGTATGTAGGTTCTAAATACAATTCTATAGTTTTAATTGCTGCTTCATTTCCATGTCAGTTATATGTAACTGTATGCTTTGGGTCTTCCCATGACAAATTTTTTCTTCAAGCATTCATATTATCTAACAGAAATACCTTGTGCATAGTCACTGGAGTTCAGTCAGTTGTGAACAACTTCTATTTTCATATATAATCCATATAATTAGTGGTTTTCCAGTTTAATTTCTTAGGAATATCTAGTGAGTCAGGTCTACTAAAAGTTGTTGCTCTTAATATTCTTCTAACAATTAAGCTCAAGGCAAGGCAATCTAAATGTGCAATTGCACAGTTTCTGGGCGTGATATCAAATAATCCAAGTAAAGGACTCAATTCCTTGCACATTATGTGAAATATTTGTTTTCTTTGAACTAGTGACCAACAAGCGATTGTTCAGGCCAGTTTGACCTCCTGCATCTCTGATTAGAAGGTTATACTACCACTTGTAATCCAAGTTCCCTACAGTTTCCATGTTAGATATGAGCTATTGTAATAATTCATGCGAAGTACAAAAGAAGTAGATATTCGGCAATTTTTTCATTACTTTTCATGACTGAGTTGTTTTTGTGCCGACATTGTTGGTTGACTACTTTTATTTTTCCTTTTTCTCTTTATTCTTCTGTTGGTAGTTGACTGGTGATGGAATTTAAATACTGCAGATGCAAAATGGAAGCAAAGAGAGTAGTGGTCTTGGAGCTTTATTTGACTCCAATACGGACCATTTGAAAGCTTCTCATGGTATTTTCTTTCAACATTGGGAAAGATTGATTGATTTAGAGGCCAAGGAGACTGAGGTTGAAATTTGAAGTGAATTCAGATGTATCACATATAATATTCAATTCACATGCTTGTATATGCCAATGCTAAGTTCAATCGACTATGATGCTCATTTCTTTCAGCTTGTAAAGAGGGGAGTTTGGCACACACGTAGTGGAGAGAAAAATCAAACGTCTACCTGTCTTTCTTCTATTGTTCTTAGTACATTGGATGGCCAACCACATTGTACTTCTGAAAAGGACAACCGAATCAGCTATCGTTTTGTGTGTCATGGTTCGTCGTCTCTGTGTTTGAAAGATTCAAATGTCGATAGTTCAAACACTGAGTCAACAAATGACATGGACAGTTCACTTAGAGTTGGAGACTATGTGGTGAGTCCTTTTCTCCTCGTATGATGAATGGGTTCTTGGATGGAAAATGTTTTGCTTTTACTTTATACTGATCGTGATCCTATGTGACAATGCTAATTCATATACTGGAGTTAGTTAAAAGGTATTACTCAGAAGGTTTTCGTTTCCAGAAGCTGCTATATATTTATTTTCTATTTTCTATTTATTTCAAAATTTAAAAGGAAAAAAAGCCAAGCTTCTACTGTCTTTACATACTTCCAAATGATTTTGGATCTGGTGTGTGTATGGCGTCTACATGATGCTAGATGGATATCTGCCACAGAATTAGTAGTAGAAGATCCAACCATGTTCGTGTTCTTTTATTTATGGACCATGTGCCATTCTAAATTTTTTCATCCACATTTTTTACTTTCCATTCTATTTCTTCCAGTAACTAATAGGTGATTTCTGTTGCTGGTATTTTAGATACTTAGTACAGATTCTGGGAATTTGACCCTAGCGAGTGGGATTATAAAAGATCTGAGCAGTCTCCATATATCTGTAAGAAAATTTCTTTGGTTTCTTTCTCATATTTTGATGCCAGTTGCACATTCACAATAGACAACTATAAATCACAGTACTGTTAGTGGTTGAAGACATTTTGTAAATTAGTCTCTGCCTTTCAGATTGAATTGTTTGGTGTAAAACTTGCAGGTTTCTTTCTCTAAGCGCCTACGTTTGCCTGGAAGCACTTCTTCTACTGAGGCACATGATCTTATGAAGCAGGTATGGCGGATTGACAAGGATGAATTTATGACTTCGTTTGCAATCATGAGGTAATAACTTGACGTAATTGTACTACAACTATTCTGCTAGACATACTGCAATATTCTATTCTCATGTTTATTTTATTGCTGAAGGTTTAATCTTGTACAACTGCTTCTGCAAGGTGAACAAAATTCTCATCTTAGAAAGTTGATCGTAGATCTTGCGGTAAATACTTGTTTAAACCTTTGTACTATTGACTTCTTCCTTGCCTACTTAGAGATTATTTATTTTGGCCTGAACGTGTTCTCACTTGTAGGCTCCAAGATTTGATAGTGGATGCATATTCAGCCAGGATCCAGCAATATCTTACATCTGGTCAGAGAAGAATTTAAATGATGACCAACGTCGAGCCATAATTAAGGTGTTGCTGTTAAAATGTTTCTTCTCATTCTAACTTGACTCACCTACTCAGTCTCTCTTTCCTCCTTTTTTTTTTTTTTTTTTTTTTTTTTTTTTTTTTTTTTTTTTTTTTTTTTTTTTTTTTT